TGATTGTGAATGCAGCCTATGTGGCCTTGTGAGTCCATTCCATTGTTCAACCCATTGGAATTGACACATCCATTCAGTGCACTAATTTTTCAATGAAATGCATTGTCTATGCTTTATTCTGAAAGTATAAAATATCAAGTGGAAAAATAAGTTGCAGATAGATAAATTTTAAAAAAGAGGCCCAAAGCAAATATATCCATATATATCCAGATAGAGGAGTGTAATTAGTTATTACCTTGACCAAGGTAAGAACATTGTCTTATTGGAAATGTGTGTTGATTTTTGGGGGGGAGTGGAGAAGGGAAGGATTGGTAGAAAATGTCATCGATTGATTTTGTACTTTTAAACTTTAAAATATTGTGCTGGAAGGCATATTTTCCAATGTATCTCATCAGTCATGAGCTGACCGAAAACATTTGTGTCAGAGTAGAATGTACTGTTTGGGGAGGAGGCAGAGATTTGAGAAAGGTCAGCTGGAGAAAGGAAGTGAGCAGCTTTGGATGGACAGAGAGAAGTAATTAAAATAAGGTGGAAGAAATGAGCATATTTACAAGATGAAGACAGGAAGTAGCCTTAGAGGGATTACTCTTAGTGGTCTTTCAGGAGAGTACCACTGGCCTCCATTCTCTTGAGTGAAGAGACTTCCTGCCATGGTCTGTTGGGCCGAGCAGTCTGTTGTAACATGTTGCATGCAACCAGCAGAGCAGGCCAGGGTTATTTTTGGATGTGAACTAGCAAACAACTGTGAAGTGGCAGCATGTCAAGGAGGACTAGTTTTGATGTCAACCCTGGAAGGGGTGGCCCTGAGCTCACCTCAGAATAGAGTGTATTCATTCATCTGACAGTTATATATAACCATCTCTAACTGCTGCTACAGGAAGTCTCTTTACTAAGATAAAACTGAAAAATCTATTAAAACAATGGTCTAAATACCTCATCGGCATCTTTGTATAGCTATTTTTTAATTTAATTTTAAACTCACACACTGTAAAGTTTACCATTCTAAAATGTGCAGTTTTGTGGCCCATTAGTGAGTCATGAGGTTGCATGCCCATCACTCCTGCCAAATTTCAGAGATTTTTTTGATCACTACAAAAAGAAACACCATGTGTGTAAATAGTCCTTCCTATTCTTCCCTCTCTCTGCTAACCAACTTGCCTACATTCTGTCTTATTTGTCTACTATAGACATGATCATACAATCTGTAGTCTTTTGTGTCTTGGCTTGTATCTTCAGGGTTCATCCATGTCATCTCCTCAGCACTTAATTCCTTTCTGTGGCTGAAGAACATTCCATTCCACTAAAGAACAGTCCAGGTTTTGTTGATCTTTTCATCAATTGATGGACAGTTGGAAGTTTTCCACTTTGGGGAAATTGTGACTATTGCTGCAATGAATATTCATGTGTAAATCTTATGTGAGATGAACTTTCCATTCTCTTAGGTAGTGCTTCCGAGTGGAATTTCTGGATCATAGTGTAATTCTGTGATTAACTCTTTGAGGAACTACCAGCCTATTTCTGCCCCCCATACTAGTGTATTAAATGCTATGTGTACATGGTTTTAAACTACGGAATGGAGTTTTATCCTTAGCAAACCTATGTAACTACTACTGCAGCTTCACATGGTTCCAAATACACAGGAATATTAGTGACGGGAATTCTATCCAGCACATACCTACTTAGTAATCCTCTGCCATATCCCTAGGAACACAGCAGTGACCACAATAGGGGAGTTTCCTGTTGCCATGGCTTTGATAGTCTTAGAGAGGAGGTGGCCCTTAAATGATACCCTCTCAATTAAGTAGATGGTCCAACTGGGATCTGTGCTCCCAAGGAATAGTGCAGATTGCTCTAGCAATCTAACCCAGAGGGAGTGCCAAGAGATCAGGTGTTCATAGACTGTCTCCTGTGAAACTAAGTTCTGGAAGATACGTAGGATGGAAAAAAGACTTCCAGTTATGAAGGTAAGTATAATGGTTCAGAGGCTGGAATGGGTATGATGCTTTGAAGAAGACAAGATCCAGGAGGGTGCTGAAAAAGTGTGAAGATGTGAGGAAGACTTCTTTGCAAACAAGAGTTTTTTTATTTCAACAATGTGAGTTGATTTTTGTTTTTTAATGAGACACATGAATATAATAAACCTACCACAAATTATGGTATGGCTTTTGTTTTAGGTTGTTTTTCCCCTTTTCTGGTCATATTTAGTCACAAACTGATGGATATGGTAAAGACTCAGATCTAGTTAGCTTAGTTCATGGGTTGAAGATATCATTGGAATATTCATAGTTATCCCCATTTACTTTTGTTTTTTAAGACAAAATAATGTATTTACTAACATAAAAAATTACACTGGCCAGAGCATTTTTAATAAATACTATTCTTTATTCTTTATTCTCTAGCAATGCAGTGTAATAGTTGTGAACATAATATTTATAGTATGCTAAGTACTATAGACATGTGGATGAATTGAAGTGTTTGGGAAGATGTGTACAGGTCATATGTAAATAGTGTACCATTTTATTTAAGGAACCTGAGCATCAGCAAATTTTGATATCCTTGTGAAGGGAAGGTCTTGGAATCAGTTAATGGTGAATTGTATTTAGTCACTGTGGAATTATTTTATCCATCTGACTTTATATGTTGTTATTTTGGATAAGAATATTTAACATCTACTCTCCCTTCAACTTTTAAGTGTTTAATGTAGTATTGTCAGCTATAGTCACCATACTTTTCAAGATAACACCAGAATATTCATCCTGTCTGACTGGAAGCCTTTATTCTCATGTTAAATTGCTTGATTAGACATTGATTTTTTAAAAATTTGTATCTATTTATTTATTTGTTTGTTTTGTTGGTCATGGAGCATGAACTCTGGGCCTGCATGCTGTCCCTGAGCTCTTCAGCTCAAGGCTAGCACTCTACCTCTTGAGCCACAGTGCCAATTCTGGCCTTTTCTGTTTATGTGGTGCTGAGGAATTGAACCCAGGGCCTCGTGCATGCAAGGCAAGCACTCTACTGCTGAGCCACCTTCCCAGCCCCTAGACATTGATTTAAAAGAAAAAACAGCTAAATGTTGAAATCAGACTAATGTTAATCAGAAGGAAATAAAGAATTCTAGATATTATTGGAGAATTCTAAATATTTGATGATGAAAATTTTTAGCCTAATCATAATAGTTAATATTGGCTAAGGTGTTTGGATAGTGACAGATTCTGTATACATTTGACTTAGATTCTTGGATCCTATCTATTTGAGTAGTTTTAAAATGTGAATTTTTACTTTACTGATATAGCTATAGATACAGTACTGAAAATAATTTCATTTTAGCCCTTCAACTTGAAATGGTTTGTTTGTTTTTGGTCGTGGGGCTTGAACAGGCACTATCCCTGAGCTCTTTTGCCCAAGGGTAGCACTCCACCACTTTGAGTCACAGTGTGCCACTTCCCTTCTGGTTTTTGAGTGGTTAATTGGAGATAAAGAGTTTCACGGGGACTTTTCTGCCTACGCTGGCTTCAAACTGTGATCCTCAGATCTCAGCCTCCTGAGGAGCTAGGATTATAAGCATGAGCCACTGGCACCCAGCTTGAAATTGTTTTTTAAACTAAGGAAGTTGGCTCACCAAAATGAATTATTCTTCCACTTGATTCTTGCAATTAATAAACACTATTTATTCTTGGATTTGTTTATTTATCTGTAAGCATTTGAATGTCTTATTGCCTGGAATACTGCTCAAGATATTAGAAATAACAAAAGGAATAAGACATACCTCTATATTCACAGAGTTTTGAAACACAATACTATATTTAGATTTAAATTATTTATATTGTAGTATTTGTTTCAAGACCTGTTAGGGGGCTGGGAATGTTGCTTAGTGGTAGAGTGCTTGCCTAGCACATATGAAGCCCTGGGTTCAATTCCTCAGTGCCACACAAACGGAAAAAGCTAGAAGTAGCACTTTGGCTCAAGTGGTAGAATGCTAGCTTTGAGCAAAAAGAAGCTCAGGGACAGTGCCCACGCCCTGAGTTCAAACCCTAGGACTGGCAAATTATAAAGACCTAATAGGGTATAATTACTATCAAATTTGCTATTGAACATTTGCTATCTAACATTTAATAAGAATATTATCATTATAATCTCTTCCCAGTTTAGCTTTTGTTTTTCATAACATTAAAAGATAATTGATATAACATATTTGTACTTGTAACTTACCTGTTTTGTAAAATATTTATCATTTGTGATGTGGTTTTCAGGGAATGTAATGTTAAATAATAACTTTGCCCTTGTGGAATTTTCGGGCTGGATGGTTTATTGATGGGCCCTGTTTGTTTTTAAAGTTCTAAGGCTGTATTATCTACTTCCCATTATGCCTTTGTCCTAGTTTTGTTTTCTATTTTTGGTCTATTGGTATATCTAGTGTTATGTCAGAGACACACAGTGGCAAAGGAAAAGACACTGAGTGACTTTAGTATTGTGTGCAATAAAAAAAAAACAACTCTGGAATACTCTCCCTTCTATCATAACACAATAATAGCCTCTTCTTTCATTGTTTTTCCCCAGTAAGCTACACTGGGAAATGTTTTTGTGCATTTTTATGAGTCTAATGATGCAATTGTTTTTAATGTTGGCTTTATGTGTTAAACTTTTACTAATTGGACAGCTATCATTTTGCTGTTTGAGTTTCTTTTTTATTTTGTTTTGTTGTAGCATCTGAAATAACTGCACCCTTGTTACGTTCCTTTTCACATCACTTTCTTGACTCTCTCCCCCAGTTCAGCCCTCTCCTGTGTCTTGTCACTCTTGAAGCTGAAAGGAACATTGAAAGTTTCTGTTTCTTTACATAATTTTGCATATCCTTGCATTTACAAATACATCTTAAAGCTGTACTATTGCTGCTACCCATTTTGTTTGAAACTATTCATTTATAAACTGATCTGTTTCAACAGAAATAGCCTTCTCATAGTAAAAACAGGTTCTTAAAATAATACCTTTTCTCTTTCCAGTTTTGAGAAATGGCGCTTGGGAAATTGTTCACTGGGAAAAGGTATGCACTGATTTTTATTTTGCTAACAAAGAAGTAGTAAATGTATACTCGGAGATGTGTTTGATATACACAACATAGGAAAAGTCAAGAATTCTTCTAGCATGAAAACTATTTAGTAATAATGTCAACGTTCATGGCATCTTCAGTCACATTCCCTTGAGTATTCTAAAAAGACATCTTTTGAAAAGTAGTATCTACAACTTTTTGTTTCTTTCATAGCATTTTGAGTACTGTTTTCATAGATTTTATTTAACCATGAGCTGTTTTGTGTTGTAAATTTTGCTTTAATCATCTACTGTCCAAGTAAAATAAAAACTAAGAGTTCTGATTTCACATTTATATATATTTACCTCAAATTCATACAGTAAGACTAATCACATTTTCATACTATGAACTTCTATTCTGAAACAGTCTTACAAATGAGAATTTTCATTTCCGAATGGAAGAAAACTCAGTCTTGTATCATTAGAAGTTAATGCACTCAATCGAACTCTGATATGGCAGTGAGTGAACCACGTCGCTTTCACAAATGTTACCCTAGATGTTCATTCTTTTCAGATCCCAATTTTAAAAAGTTAATAGTTATTACTAGCTCTCCCTCAGTTCTGGAAGACTTAATCTGTAGCAACAATTGTTGGCTAGCCTCTGAAACCTGGCCAGGCCAGGCCAGTCCATTCAGGGAATTCTGTGTTTCCTGGGATTTGAAGACACTGGAGGTTGTATTTCATAGAATAGTGTCTTCCTAGGCCAATAAGGATGTCACCTACAGTCACCACTTGTTCTATATTATTGCTCAGTCAATTGAAGTCCATTCATTTGATATTTATGGTATTTATAGTCACCTTATTTACCTGTCGGCATAAGTGTCCCCTGTCAATAAAAAATTAATTGCATTTTTATTTATTTTAAATGAGTGGCTATAATAGAAATTTCCATCTACCAAATGAAAGTTCACCTTCTCTTTTTGTCTTTGACATAAGAGTATCAGCGAGGAAAATACCTTGATTATGTATGTTTTATTTGTATACTGGTCATCTGTTTCAGAAGAGTAAAATAACAGAAAAGGTAAAAGTAATAATTTTCTTTTATGATTTTTTCTGGTACTCATGGACTTAAAACATTTTAAAGAGAAGACAGATAGGATATAATCAAGTAAGATCTAAAGGAATATTTTCATGATGAGATACCTGTGTAGTAAGTATAAATTCATATTATGGCATTTTAACACATTAGTTTCTTGTTACTTAGACCACTTGCTCAGGAACCAAATATTTACAAAGGAGGTACCAGTCTGTTACTTCACTCTAAAATTAACTTTTAATGTTTCTCATTTCCCCAACAGACAACCATTAGTTGTTCAAGATTACACTTATCTCTATGAATTACTTTAAATCTTCTTTTAAAAATTTTTACAGGCAAAAATACCAAATCACCAATTTTGATTAACTATAATAACTGTATTTTCAGTCATCTTGGGAGTCAGAGACATGCTTCAAATGGACATCTTATGTTGAGAAACAGAGAGATAGCATTTAATTTAAAGTGGAAACAGTAGTCACCTAGCTAAGATGAGCTTATATCATGTAGAGTTACAAAGAGATGCTTAATTAGAAAATAAAGTTTGTCTCCATGATGAATTCTGAATATCCAGACATCAAAAGCATTCTTCAGTGAGCAATATCAAGTTAGAAAATGGGAAGAAAGATCATATTGCTGATAACATGCATACAAATAAAATATGCATACAATCTAAAGAAATCATCTATAAACCTGAAGTGTCAAAGATCCACTTAAATGTACATATTTCAAATTATTAATGTAATTATGATTCCCAGGAAATTATCCTTTTTAACCCTCAAGAGTCGATTAAATTACTAGTCTGATTTCTTCAAAATTAAATTGTTGAGAAAATAGAAGACTATGGAAACATGAAGAAGAAAGTACTAGAGTTAATTGTAAGTAAATAAATGGGAAAGTTATTTAAATAGTATGAATATAGTTTAAAAACAGACAATAATGAACAGAAAATCATAAATAAAGATAGCAAAGAATAGAATACAATGTTAAAGAAAAAAACTTTTAAATATTTTATAGACCAGACAAAAATAAGTGGTAAAAACATTAATTTTCTTAAACATTAGTAGAATAATGCTTGAATATTTAGTTTATAGCTAAGTGACAGACTATACCAAAAATAAGTTCAGTTGGCTAAAAGCTTACAACATTGTTTCTGAAACTCATACAAACAGTTTTGCTTGCTTGACTGATATTCTACCACTTGAGCCACTTCTCCAACCCAGCCTGGTGTATCAGTTATTTTGGAAGTAGCCATGGACTTTTCTGCCCTGGCTGGCTTCTAACCTGATCCTCCAGATCTCAGCTTTCTGAGTAGCAAGGATTACAGGTATGAGCCTCTGGCTCCTGGACTATTTCAGAATTTTTATATTTTATTCCTATACCATTGTGGATTGAGAATCATAGAGGAGAGTTCTAGGAATTTATCCAAAGAAAGTAATCATGAAGTGGGAGAAAATCTTTACATATATAAAATATGTGTTCTAGCATTATTTATAATAGATAAATATTAGTGTACATGATATACAGTGAGGAACACATTTTATAAAGAAATTAGTGCATTCTACACTCATGGCAAGTAAGCATTGTCACTTTATGTGCTATGACAACACAGAAAAACTTTATACTCTGTATTCAAAAAGTACTTTTTTACATAAAGGTACCAAGCAGTGAGCTCATCACAAAGAAGAAACACATAATAGAGGTTCTTGTGTTGTAAAATAGAATCATAGATAAACAGAGCAGGACCATGAACCCTGAGATTCCTCCGCAGAAGCAGCATTATATCAAGCAAGTGGTCAGACACAAAGCTGACTTTGGCTGGATTGGGCATATTATGGAGGCAAGTTCTTTCCTTGACTTATGCATTTTGTACAATTAAAAAACAAAACCAGGGCTGGGAAGGGGGCTCAGTGGTAGAATGCTTGCCTTGCATGCACAAGGTCCTGAACTCGATTCCTCAGCACCACATAAGCAGAAAAAAGCCAGAAGTGGCACTGTGGATCAAGTGGTAGAGTGCTAGCCTTGAGCTGAAGTGCTGAGGGACAGCACCTAGGCCCATAGTTAAGGCCCCACCACCAACAAAATAACAACAACAACAACAAAAACATTTCTTTATAAATAAATATTTACATTAGAAACAAAACTTTGTAATCACTTATTATACAGTATTTTTAAACTTTAATTATCAGTACTATTTTCTCAATTAAAGTTATTAATGCCAGGCGCTGGTGGCTCACACCTGTAACCCTAGCTCCTCAGGAGGCTGAGATCTGAAGATTGCTGTTCAAATCCAGCCTCAGCAGGAAAGTCTGTGAGACTCTTATTCCCAATAAAGCACTCAGAAAACTGGAAGTGGCTCTGTGGCTCAAGTGGTAGAGTGTTAACCTTGAGTTGAAGAGCTGAGCAGTCGTGCCCAGGCCCAGAGTTCAAGCCCCATGACCAACAACAACAAAAAAGTTATTATTAATAATGCACTAAATTTTAACTTGAGAATGTAATACCATTTAATAAAAACAAAATGAAATTTCAGATTTAACATTTAATATTTCATGGTTCTAAAAAATCCCTAAATACATTATGTTTTTATTCACAAAAAGAAACTTAAAAAAAAAAAGTAACAGTCAAGTGTAGTAATGTATACACCTATAATCCAAGCACTCAGGAGGCTGAGATAATAGGATCTCCAGTTCAAGGCCAACCTTAACACTGCAAGGCATGGTCTCTAAAGAACATACATGCATACATCATACACACATGATATGTGCATACATACATATGCTCACAACCAACCAGCCCAAACTGAGAATGTCATCTACATGCCAGGATCATGTGAGAGACATCACTTTGGGATGCCTTCTTTGCCATGCATATGCATAGTGATTGTGGTTTCTTTTTTAATGGTCCTCAGAGGACCTACCAATCCCACAGTGTCCACCTAGTCCTTCACAGATGGGAAGATTCACTTCTCAGACGTTAGGTATTCATTCCTCCAGTTGTTGCCCTGAGGCTTTTTTTTTCTGAAATGAATACATTTTTCTGGCTTCATGGGAAGCATGGCTTGTGAGCTACCTACATGTATAAAAGCCACTGTGTACAGCTGCTTTCATGAATGAAGTTTCCGTTATAAAATAGATTATATAGACAAATACAGTCTTGGTTTTATGAAGCGTATAATGTAACCGAAGTAGAAATATCAACACATGGGAAGCAGTTAAAGAACAATTCAATGGTATCTTGGATTACATCCTCTACATGCCATGATCACAAAGAATTTGTATTTTTATAAGATTGTGGTCATTGACTGCTACCGGTACTATTGCAGTCTTTTAAGGGCTGATTTGCATTTACACTTACCATTTTGTTTGTTTGTTGTTGTTTGCTTCATGTTTGCCCTTTTTTGAAGTAGGAAGTCGCTGATTCCAAGGTCTTAGGTGTCATATGTCAGTTTCCAGTAGTCCAAATGTCTTTTTTTTTTGGGGGGGGGGGTCCGGTCATGGGGCCTGAACTCTGAGCCTGGGCGCTGTCCCTCAGCTCTTCAGCTCAAGGCTAGTGCTCTACCACTTGAGCCACAGTGCCACTTCCGGCTTTTTTCTTTTTGCTTCTGTGGTGCTGAGGAATTGAACCCAGGGCCTCAGGCATGCAAGGCAAGCGCTCTACCACTGAGCCACCTTACCAGCCCAAATGTCATATTCTTTAAAAAAAATCAAGGTACCCAAACAAACCTCTACAGTTTCCAGATTATAAAGTAAAAGGGAGCAGCGCCACCTCTGCACAAATTTATTAGATGTATCTATTAGAATACTATCTCTCCTTTCCCCCAGCAAAGTTTTTTTTTATTTTAGAATTCAAGGGAAAGTAGAGAGTATGAAGAATAAAAAGGTTATCTGTCTACTATGAGATAAGGGATCATTCCTGAGGCAGTGGGGGCGGCCGACATCTGAGTTGTCAGATGGTTACTGAGTTAGAGTTGTGTGGTTTGCCAAAAACAGTAAAACATACCACCTAACACAGAAATCACTTCTCACAGCCTCTGATAAGGTCCGAGGGCACCTTTAATTTGTCATGCCATGCTCTGAAAAAATGATAACTGGTAGTAAAATTGAGATTATGCTGTGTTTTTAAATTCTTTTGAGTTACAGCAATAGGTTCAGCAAATTTACTTATGCAAAAATCAAGCTTTGCATAGTCAGATGTGGATTTGAGTCTAAGCTTTTCTACACTGCTCCTGAGCAAATAACTTAGAATCTCAAATTTATTTTCTCCCTTTCCATATTATGAGTAATATTTGTTTCATCAGGGTCAATGATGACATACATATATCATAACATCTCTGGTAATGTTCAGATTTCCTCAAGTTTGATAAAGATCTCAATGGGTGAATTCCTCCTTTTTATTTTTATGTCAAAGAGAGAGAGAATATGAGAAGGTATGTAATTCATTTTTTTGAAGCAATTCCCCATTCCTGTCTTCATCCCTAAACAATTATATGCCATTTTGTGAAGATAAGTGGTTCTTATTTGCCATTCTCCTGTCTTCTGTGCTTTAATGCAATGGTTTGTGTATTTGTAACAATCTTTACATGCAGATAATTAATTGATTCCCAGTTTTCTTTCAGGTAAATGTTGGAGATATAGTTATAATAAAAGGCAAAGAGTATATACCTGCTGACACTGTACTTCTCTCATCAAGGTAGAGATACCTACTGATGCTCAAACAGTGTAGAGGACAATTTCTCTACCCTGCATTGATCTTGTGATTTCTCCAAGGAAATAAGGAATAAACGAAGAATTTCAAACCTCTCTGTTTCTTAATCAAGCATTCAAAAATTCGACTTAAAGGGATCTTTCATGATAGCCATATAGAATAAGTAAATTGGTGTGATGTAATTCAAAATTCAGTCTTCTCTTTCTCTCAATGTGGGCAGATCTGTGTGTGTGGACCCCTAACTGTCTAAGATTTCCTGTCACTTAGTTTCTATCCATGGATTGAGTCCTATTAATTTTTATCTTTCAGTCCGTGTCCATCATAAATTCTTTTATGATGTAATCATCTATCTCTGTAAAGTTTCCTGATCCTTGGGGTGAAATGGTAGAAGAAAATGGATAAGGGATTTATTTTTGTCATCGTACCTTTTCAAATGCCATATTCTTCCAACCGAAAAAAAGTGCTTTGCTCTTTCTTCAGTGCTTTCTGTTACTGAATTTAGATAAATTTTGTTCTGCTCAGATTTAAGAGAGTCGTGAGTTAGTATTCAGAAACATATGGCATAGTTACCCTTTAAAGAATGTGATTTTTCAAATGGTTTTAGGTTTAAAAACTGTAAAACTAGTCCTACTATAAATTACAAAGAAATGTTTTTAATATCTTAGAGGTTGTTTATCATCATTTCCTTGGACAGTTTTATTTGTAAAAATCCACATATAAATATGGACAGTGTCCTTTTTTCAAAACTTATTTAATCAGGTCATGATCTAAAGTGATTGGAATTTTGACAAATTGGTGCAATTTAATGAGAAAACAAGACATTATTTATATATTTTGACAGTACTTGGATTTGGAGAGTTATTTATAGAAATAAATAACAGGTTAATGAAATAACCACAGGTGGTTATATTTTCTATATTTTATAATCGGTACCGTTTGTGCCATATGTAGAAAAGGGTTCTTTTGGGCAGAAAAATGATTTGAGAAACAAATATGGATGGTTTCATACTGGAGCTTGAACTAAAACCTCAATCGCTCACTTGGCTTTTTCTGCTACAAGCCTCTACTTTCAGCTTTATGGTGGTTTATTGGAGATAACAGTCTCACCAACTTTTTTTTTTCTACCTGGGCTGGCTTCAAACTGTGATCCTCAGATCACAGTTGTTAATATTACAGGAGTGAGCCACCAACCAACATGTGGCCCTTAAGGGATTTTCACATTACTTAAGTCTTTGAAAACTACTTTAATCCTAAAAATTAGTTTTTAAATCATTTAACAGAAAGAGAAATTTTGACATTGTTTTCTATTTAGTCACTAAACTGTAGCTAATGATTAAGTCAAGGTTGGAAAACTAAAACTAATTATTTTCATTATGCCACACAGTCTGCTGCCAAGATAATTACACTGTGGTTATCACCTGCAAGCATGAATTAGCAGTAAAAATTTTGAAAAATATTTATTATACTTAATTTCCGTTTTTATTCAATTACTAGTTATTAGTTATATATCTTCAGTAAGGTAGCTTGAAATTAAAGCATGAACATGGTTGGAAGGAAGTTACTATGTCTTACTGATTTTTATGAATACACTGAAATATTAGCATAGAACAACCAATCCAGTAATGTGTTGAGTGATAAAATAAATTACTCAAGCTATTGATTCAAGTCTAGGTGTATTTTTGGCATGTCTATTTTGCACATTCCCTGAAAATTTTTCTGGAGATTCATACTTAGCTCCTGCCCACCAGAAAACCCTCACAGTGTATTACTTGGATTTTATTAATTACTAAATATCTCTTAAGGCTTTAATTATGCCTTCTAATATCCCAACAATCTTCTTTCTTCAGCTTTCCACTTAATCCAATAAGATACTTACACAGTTAACATTGAAAATAATTTAGAATGAGAACGTGTGTGTGTGTGTGTGTGTGTGTGTGTGTGTGTGCTGGAGCTTGACCTCAGGGTTCAGCCACTGTCTCTTAGCTCCATTTCTGACTTTTTACTGATTAAGTGGATATAAGATTCTCACAGACTTACCTGCCCAACTAGGCTTCCAACCCTGATCCTTAGAATTTAGCTTCCTGAGTAGCTAGGATTACAGAAGTGAACCACTGGTGCCCAGTTAGAATCAGAACATTTTCAAGTATCTTAATATTTGGGAGGAGTCTGGTGGAAGCAGGAATCGTTAGTGTAATACACTTCGTTTTCAAGTGTCTAAAAATTAGATGCAACAGTTATTTCTTGGCTTTTTGGTAGAAATGGACATACTGTGCATAGCAGGTTGAAGAATTAGAAAAAGGGAAATCTGCAAGAGAAAGTAGCACTCTTCGTAAAACATATTGAACATAAACATTTGAAGTATTCTCATTAGAAAATGAAAGTTGGTCTTAAAAGCAAAATAAGCAATTCAGTATTTTCTTATACATTTCAGCCTGATCAAAATAAGTTTTGAAAAAATTAACACTAGACATTTTTATTAACATGTATTATTTTCTATAATAATTTCAATCTTCTGTCTCTTTTGTCCATTTGTTTGTTTGTTTTTTCTCTCTGTTATTCATTTTCCCCCATTTTAATTATTTTACACTGGGACATGTAGGTGGCAGTAGGGGAAATAGTCAAAGTGACCAATGGGGAACATCTCCCAGCAGATCTCATCAGTCTGTCCACAAGGTTAGAACCATGGAGCTGTACAGGATGTGTGTATGTGGGTCCTCACCCTAAACCAGAGAGCCATTGCACCCAAATATGCTTGAGACCTGTCTCTGTCACTTTTTATACTTTGTGATAGATCTTTCATAGATGTTTTAAAGGTATTTAATGAATCCCATATGGGTAAAGTTTGTCCCTCAAATGGGTAGATTTCAACTCCTATTGTTTCCAGTGGGAGTCTAAGAGGTGTGCCCAGTAAAGGTAGATGGTATTTCCAATACATCATTGACATGTATATTCATATTTTACAACATGCTTCAGTATAGGCTTAACTTATTACATCTCCAGGGTATTGTTTTGAACAGCTTAAGCTTTTTATGCAATAGTCATTGAAAAGTGATGACGCGTTAAGCCTGTCTTCTTATTCTCATCTAAAAGATGAGTTCTACAGAATCCTTCCCACGATTATAATTGTAATTTGGGCTTGGATAGGGTTTATAGAGGACCCCCTGCACAAAGCTGGCTGTTGTACATTTTTGTACCGCATGCTTCGGGATCACTCCTTATCCCACTTGTAACTCGTGACAAAGTGCACGTTATTGTGATCATTTCCAAACTGTCTACTAGTGTCTGTGTTGTGATTTGCATCTCTCGTTTCATTGTTTCTTTTTCCACTTACTAATCAAAAAGCCTGCTTTGCCTCTCGGACTGTAGTTTGTGTTTTGGATGTCATTGTAATTTGCTGAAACATTTTTGATCTAGCATGATTCTTGACTTCCTGCTACCTTTTTGCAGCTCTGTTAAGTACTGCTTCAGTCACAGCTATCTTCCGTGATATATTAAGAATGTTCTGAGTCTCGATGTCATTTTTATTTGCCCCACTTCAAAAAGTCCCTCCATCGAAAGTTCTAGACAAGTTGTTTTGTGGGGGAAACAAAACAGGAAATGTTACTCTCCATAGGAGACTGGCCTTGGATAAATAGATTTATCAGTAACAATATAATGTATTTTGCTGCAAATATATGGACTTAGTATTGTCATTGTGCATTTTACTTTTCATCATATTATCTGAAAAGAATATTTTTTTGTAAACTACTTCTATTTCATATGTATTTATGCATATATATATATATATATATACATATGAAAATTACAAGTTTGAAACAATTATCACAGTAAAAATTACCACTTGAGAGTGATTTAAAGATTAGGGTTTTTGAGTAATAATTGGCAGGGTGAAATTATTAATATTAGAAGATGACAGTTGAAGGGAAAATTACCAGCCTTTATAAAAGAAAGCTCATGGAGCAAGTGGAAGAACGTACAGTTACTATAAAATGAATCTCAAAAATATTTGATTAATGTTCATGTGTTTAAGTGATTTTCACAAATCTTGGGGGCACAAAATTAAACTAAATACCCATTTCTGAAACCTTAAATAGTCTGTTTTGCACATGTACAAATTGGAAGTTGATTAGAAAATTCCTAGTGTTTCTGTCTTGCCACTGTTTTTCCTTCTAACTCCAAGTGCCCATACTTAGTAGGAATTATATTCAGAGTAACCTATGTGATGTTAGTAAGATAGGATTTAACTGAAGTACTAATGAGATTGGTTTAACCTCAAATTGCTTTTCCATGCAACTGAGAATCAAATTATATAGTAAACTCATAAGTGCAGGGCACATAAAGTCAGCATGGGAAGGAAAAGAATGTCAAACAATTTAGGCTGACATGCTGATGATAAACTAGAAAAAACAGACCAACCTATGATGGAACTGCACACCAAAGTTTGCTTTTCCATTCTGGTAGAGATGCATGGAGTCGATTTTCTATGTTCAGGGCAACCTAGATATTGACCAATTGGGCTAATTTTCATTTGATTTTTTTCCTGCCTCAAGAATCACTCAAGGAGAGCAGGAATGGAACAAAACCAAGGGAAAAACTTGTATATCCAGTTTTACTGTAATATATGTCCATGCAGCTTTTCAAAGTAGCCTTAAATTTTTAATGTTACATGGTCCATATGGCCCTGTTTATTCTCACTAAAAGGGTAGATAGAGGATAGAGGAGTAGGCAAGTTTGTGGCAGTGGCCATCTGGAATTTTCTAATCAACCACTTTCATAACCAATTTACATGTGGGCCAGGAGCATGGAAATCTCATTTGGTATTTCAGAGCTAAAGATAAATTTGGACACAAAACTGCTTTACATTTCAAATACAGTCTGTGTTGTGTCTATATGGATGAGCAATTTAAAAATAATGTGACAGATCTACTCATTTCATTATCTTGAAAACCATTACTAAGTATTGTCAGGAAATTGCTTTTGGGTCCTTCTGGCTGGACAGCTGGTCCATGACTTGTCATGCATGGGTTTTGCCTCACAGCATCTTGCTATTAGAATGAAAATCTTCAAGAAGCTAGGTGACTGTAGCTTTGTTTAGCACAAAAGCTTCAGCTTTGGTGAGTGAGCAATTGAATAAGGTATTGTTATTATTCTGCTGTCCTTCCCCCACTAAATCTCTTTTTCTTCTCAATTCTAAACGACAGTGAGCCCCAGGCCATGTGCTACATTGAGACATCCAACTTAGATGGTGAAACTAACTTGAAAATTAGACAGGTAAGTTTAATAGGAGTTCATATAATCATTGCTGTTTTATTGCATGCAATCAGTAGCTTTGTTAATGGTTTTATTGTCTTGAGTTGAACAAATTCTGCTCAGTTACAACTATTCTCTCATGGAAACACTGTGAAGAGGTCTCGAGAACTGGTCAAGTATTATAGAACTCAGATTTACTTGCCTTAAAAGTGGTCCATCACATAAATACTGTTTATAATATTTTTATTATTTTCTGTAATAGCCAATACCCAGATGATTCTAAGTGCTTTGACACTGGTATGTACGATTAGTAGTCATTCTAAGTGCATTGACAATTGCTAGCTTATTTATTTTTCCTATTTACCTAGCCCAGATTATTATTTGATTTTGCCATATCAGGAAACTCTAGTATACTTTGCTATTCTATAACTCATTGATCTTTAAGGATTTAGATTACTTTAGATTTCTCTACTTCGCAGAAAAGAACTGTAAGGCTTTTATTATTCAAGTTTAAAGGGGGAGTTAAAGTTAAGCCTCAGTGTTTCAAAGTGTAATCATAGCTACTCAGGAGGCTTGAGGTTAGAGGATTATGGTTCCAAACTAGCCTGGGCAGAAAAGTCCATGAGACTCCCTTTCCAAAGAAACCAGCAAAAACCCAGGCCAGAGGCATGGATCAAATGGTAGAATACCAGCCACACAAGCAAACAAGCCAAACAAGAGTGTGAGACCTTAAATTCAAGCTATGGTACTAGCATGAATGAATGAATGAATGAACAAATTTTATGTGTATGCACGTGCGGAAGTGTGCTCACGCGTGTGCGCACACACACACACACACACACACACACGCACACACCTTTGGCATCTTGATGAATGAGTAGAAATGTCATGGAAGGAATGCCCTAGGAAGAGAGGTTGTGTTCAGTGGCAGCCACTCCTAGGGGATGTTTCCCGACAACCCCCCCCCCCCCCCGCCCTGGGAAGGGAGAGGGGAAAAGGAGGGAAGGCAAATAAAACTGCTTCTGAACACAGCCTTTGCCCATACTTTAGCCTTTGTTCAGATTTAGCAGGCAGACTGAGACTGCATAATACCAAGTATTAACTTTTTTTTTTTTTTTTGCTAGTCCTGGGACTTGAACTCAGGGCCTGGGCTTTGTCCCTGAGCCTCTCTGTGCTCAAGGCTAGCTCAAGGCTAGCATTCTACCACTTGAGCCACAATGCCACTTCCAGCTTTTTCTCAGTAATTTATTGAAGATAAGATTCTCATAGACTTTCCTGCCTGGGCTGGCTTTGAACTGGGATCCTCAGATCTCAGCCTCCTGAATAGCTAGGATTATAGGCATGAGCCACTGGTAAAGTTAGGAACCTGTCTAATTTTTTTTTTTTTAAGTAAACTTGTTGATAGTTACTATAGAACTTTCTCAAAAGCTATTACGATTGGACAGAGAGTGGTTGTGTAAGGAGAGCAAATTACTCATGAAATAGTGGGACCCCTTAGAACCTAAGACTTGGATGAATCGACTGCCTCAATGCAACTTACTTAATGTACTCTTCGCTTATTTAAAAATGTGAACAGGGCTTACCAGCAACCTCGGATATCAAAGACATTGACAATTTGATGAGAATTTCTGGCAGAATTGAATGTGAAAGCCCAAACAGACATCTCTACGATTTTGTTGGAAATATAAGGCTTGATGGACATGGGTATGTAAACCATTCATGACATTCACCATGTCATGAATGTCTTGCAAGTCTGGCTGCATACTATATTCTTCTACTCCAAGATGGACCACTCGAAACCCTTGTTTTAACCATGTATATATTCCAACCCGAGTCTTTTTGTGAAAACACTAAATCATAACCCCATTTATGTGGCATAACTGAAGTCTTTCCCAGGGTTCTTGCCAATCTGTCAAGTGGATATTTTTAGGGATATTTTAGGGCTTACAGCAGATTGTTCAGTTTGTAAATAATCTGTGGTTTATTCTTTGACCAAAATACTGCTTATATGCTTTAAGTGTCTAATCTCCATGGCTGGGGGTCCTTTTGTATGGTTTCCAGATGTCCCAATGAGTTTAGGATCTAACCTCAAGAGGTTCATTGTATTGGACAATTTCTTATCTCCTTTGTGTAATTCTATAGGCTGTCTTGTAGCCCATGTTATCATCTGTAGTCACCTTTTGTTCTTACTGATTCCTGTCTTTCTCTCCTTACCTCTTTTCTACCATTTCCCTAACTCTTCCCTCATTCATTCAGTCAGAATTGATTATGTACCTAGTGGGCCAGGCCATTTATAAATGGTAAGGAAGCAACTGTGAACAAAGCAGATAAATATTCCACCTCTGTGTCTTTACTCGTTCAGGTTGCTTTAATAAAATTCCTTAGCTGGAAGTTTTGTGAATACTTTAAATTCATTGTTCACAATGTTGGCAGCTGCAAAGTCCAAGGTCAAGACAGCAGCACACTTGAGCTGGTGACCTTCTGCTCATAGATGGAGCCTGCTTTGTGTTCTTTCATGGCAGAGGCCCTCAGTCCTCCTGTATAAGAAGGACATACATTCCGTTTGTGAGGGCAGAATTTTCATGACTTAGTCACTCCCTAACCTAACCTCTTAATATCACTATATTGAGGACTAGGTTTCAATTTATAAATACAGGATGGGTGGGGAAACTAACATTTAGTCAATGGCATCCTGTGAGCTGTATACAAGGGAAGGGCAAACAAACAACTAAGTGTCCATGAGAAAATTCAACCTTATATTAGAAAACAAAACTTCTTTGGAAAGGAAGATAGAGTAAGCAACATTAGGACTCCTTGGGAGAAAATACATTATTAATTAGACCGTTAGGATAGTTGAAGTGGACTTCATTGAGAAGATGGCATTTGAGCAATGTTGAGTAAGAGGTGAGGAGCTTAACCTTGTGAATGTCTGCAAGAGGATTTCACACAAAGGAAATAGTAAAAGTTATTAATGATTACATAATGCTAAAGTGAGAAAATACCTGGAATAAATTTGCAATGATAGTGATCTGGGTGGAGTAATGTGATCAATAAAAAGAGTAATAGAAGAAAGGCCAGTAGTGGATAACAGTGGACCAGATCGTGTAAGGCCTCGAAGGCCACTGTGAAGGTATACAGTGAGTAAAATGGACATCCATGGGACGGTAATAAGGAAGGACAGTCACTAGTTTAGTTTTGGACTCACTAAATCTACAAAGTCCAGGAGGCAGTTGAATATATAGGTATAGAAGTCTCTTAGCATTGACACATAAATCTATGGAACTAGAAGAAACCATTCAGGATAGAGACAGTAAAGTTAGAAAGCCCAAAGATGGTTCTAAGACTGCCAATATTAAGAAGTTGAGAAAAGAGAAGGGTCTATTAAAAGAAATGAAGACCATGTTTGTGGTAGGGAAACGAAGAGAGAGTGAAGAAACTACCAGGATTGCAGGGGGTGGGGGGTTAGGGGGGTGGGGAGGAGACTACAATGAGTCAGATATTGCAGATAGCCAAGTACAGTGTAGTTGAACATTAATGATAACATTACAAGTAGAAATCTTGTGCCTTGATCAGAACAGGTGGAGCTTGATGAGCTTATTCAAGGAGTTTTGTTTCAAAGAGTAAAGAAATGAGGTATAACCTAGCAGAAAGAGTAGGACCTTTCTTGCCTCCTGCCTTGTTTTCTCTCTTCCAACTTTCCCTTCATTGCCAGCATGCTCTCCAATATATCCATCTACCAGACATTTATAATGACTAGCTAAATGTTATCTAGATAGGTGCATTAGTTCAACCAGCCTTGGAGAATGTCATTGGTGCTTTCATTATTTCGTGATTGCTTTATTGGACATTTGAAGGTTACTCTGAACTGTTGTCTTTATTTGAATCCACCAGAAGCTTTCTCATAATCTTTGATGTAATTATTGTTCTAAAGTTTGCTCAGAGTGATCTTTCTCTGAACATATGGTTATACACTAATGATAGATTGAACCATTTACACAAGTAATATTTCTTCAGTCTGACATTCGTAATTGGCCAGCTTCCATTTCTTACCAGTTCCCCCTAAATTGATGCCAAATTAATCCATGCTGTGAAGGAAAAATTTTGTGTAGTGGTGCCAAGATTTAGGATACAGATACCATTTACGTAAGGTGCTTTATTTTACAAGAAGGTGGAAGTAGCACATTTGGCGTTGACAGTGATTACTCAGTATTCTTAGAAACCATTTGGAGTGAGAATACTTTGATTACTTCAAAGATAAGGATCATTGCCTAAAGCCAGACAAGCTTTGGAATTCCATCTGGGAAGCAAACTAACAATAACTTCTTTAGCCCTACTAATTAAAAAGTAGCATATTTCATTTTAGAAAAATTGATACCTATTTCCATGCAATCCACAACACAAATGCTGTTGGTTATAGTAGGGTGGGGCAGTGGTACACCTGGCATAGCTCAATGACTTCTCAAGAACTTCGTGGAAATCTGCTTTAAACACAAGGCCCCTTCCAACTCTGAAATGTACCCCAAATCTTAATACATATATAAGATTGATATTTCTAAAAGGCCATGGGTTGGAAGCTTGGTCCTCAATGTACTGGTGTTAGGTTGTAGCTCTATTAAGATCTCCTTCAGAAAGGCTTAATGGCTGTTTTCCTGGAGTCAGGGAATAGATTTGCTATTTCTAGTCACTGTCCCATGCACTCCCACAAAGTGATGCCACTGAGATTACAGTGTCGCAACCCACTGTGACCTTGGACAAGTCAGTCATGGAGATGGATTGTGGAATTGAGGTTTGGGGCACCAGGGGCCTGAAGCCTTCCACCAGGTGTCCAAGGTCCTTTTTACAAGGTATTTATTGAGTAGGGTACAGGGGTGTGTGTGCAGAAAGTGAGGTATGGGTATTCTTGAAGTCACAAACATCCATCATGTGATACAGTCTTGATCAATATCCTTGAAGTCACAAGCACCAACTTGTGATATAATCTTATGCTAGTGATAAAGGGCTTCCTTATCTTAGGAAGCAGTGGTAAGCAGTAAATGACTTACAATTTGCACAGGCTTTTGTCTATCCCCAAGCTCTCAGCTGGCTTTTCAAACTCTCACATTACAGCAAATCACTAAGCCCTTGCCACGTGTAACCACTTAAGCTTGGACTTTGCAACCTCTGACACTGAATCAAAACCTATTATATAAAGTACTTATAAAATGACCTGTCTCAAGTGTTTTTCATAGTGGCAAAATAGTCCAAGATAGGCTTCCATCCAGATGAGCCCTGAGGCATGCTTGTTGTGCCTAAAGAGGGAAAGTTGTGTTGTGTCCTTTTTGGAAACTGAAATGCACTACCTTCAAAGGATACTCACTCTCCTTTCTGACTGTTGACATCAGAGCCAGTGGAACTTTGGTTATTCCTGAAAGAAGATCCCAAACCCAAGCTGCCACTGACTTCTGAAGCCTTCAGAGCCATAGAAGGCCGCATCAGTTGGAATTCGCTGACAAATTCTATGTTCTCTGTAAAGTTTTCTTAAGGAATTTGTTTTCTTCTTTATTTACAGAAGTCTGCCCTTTTTTTGACGAGTCCTGGGCCTTGAAGGCCAGCATTCTACCACTTGAACTGCAGCACCACTTCCAGCTTTTTCTGTGACTAATTAGAGATAAGAGTCACACAGACTTTCCTGCCCAGGCTGGTTTGGAACCATGATCCTCAGATTTCAGCCCCCTGAGTATAGAAGACTTTTTAAAGTGCATTTTCAACTATTTTGCTTTTATTGTTATTAAAATGAAGGTTAGATCATAAGAATTCTTTTTTTTTTGGGGGGTCCGGTCGTGGGGCCTGAACTCTGGGTCTGGGCACTGTCCCTCAGCTCTTCAGCTCAAGGCTAGCACTCTACCACTTGAGCCACAGTGCCACTTCCGGCTCTTTTCTTTTTGATTATGTGGTGCTGAGGAATCGAACCCAGGGCCTCAGGCATGCAAGGCAAGTGCTCTACCACTGAGCCACCTTCCCAGCCCTCATAAGAATTCTTAAGGCCATTAAATTATATGTTACATTCCTATCAAATAACCCAATATATCTATGATAGTATTATACCCGTCTTATTTCTCCAATAACCTATTGTAGAGGCAAGACAGATAACCCACAAAAGATCCAGTTTGACTTTTCTTCATGAATAACGTGGTTGAAAGTATAGGATAATAAATGCTTCGAAATGCTTACCATTCATTGGAAATGTGTTTGCAATTCTTAGAAAACTGAATGTTATAGGTAAAGGGGCTTGTCTTGGGACAATGCAAGTTTTATGTTGAAACCTGTGTGTTTTTATCTAGTGTATTTTGAACATCTGTAATCTAGAATACTTGTTTTAATTGGAAGGAGGTGAGGAATCCCTTAGCCTCACAACTTCCAAAAAAAAATTTTTTTTTTGGTCAGTTGTAGGGCTTGAATTCTGGGCCTGGGCACTATCCCTGAGCTCTTCAGCTCCAAGTGAGCACTCTACAGCACTTAAGCCACAGTGCTACTCCTTGTTTTCTAGTGGTTAATTGGAGATAAAAGTCTCATGAATTTTCCTTCCAGGGCTGGCTTTGAACCACTATCCTTAGATCTCAGCCTCCTGAGTAGTTAGGAATACAGGCAAGAGCCACCAGAACCCCCCTACAACTTTAAACTTTTTAGAATCCTAAATTTGTATCTTAATTCAAGAAAAGTAACAAATAGGTTGAGAATTAGCCCTTGAAATCACTAAACTTTTTTCTGCAAATATAGCATATTTATTTGCTCAGGCTTCAAATACAATACACCATACATAAATAGATGGCTTTAATAATAGAAATTGATTTTTCTGGAAATGAAAGACCAGGGTAACAGCATGATCAAATCCTGATGAAGGCTACTTTTGTCTGGCAAAAGATGTCTTCTTGATGAATCTTAATACAACAAAAATAAATCTCTCTAGTGTCTCTTGGCATACAGGCACTACTCCTATCATGAAGACCCCACCCACATGTCCTCTTCTATATCTGTTCATCTCTCAAAGTGGCATCTCCAAATACCATCACATTGGCTTCAGCATGTAAATATTTGAGGCCAGGGTCACATTCAATCCCACACTTCAAATATAAATTATGGGAATTATTAACTTTCTAAAACTTTCTAAAAGAAGTTCCTCATTAAGAAAATTATTCTTTTTGATAAGAAATTTACTTTCTTTCCAAAAATAAAATAAATTGTAAGACGGGCTATTTTGGAACTATATAGTGGCTGTGCCTCTCTTGTGCATTTCAGAAGATGTCATTCCTAATGTCAACATAATCTTTCCTAGCACCGTTCCCTTGGGAGCAGATCAGATTCTTCTTCGAGGTGCTCAGCTGAGAAATACTCAGTGGGTTCATGGAATAGTTGTCTACACTGGACATGATACCAAGCTGATGCAGGTGGGAATTGTATCTGCAAATGCTTTTGGGCTTAAGACTTTTATAAGTGTATTATTTGTAGCTCTAGGTTTAATCTCAAACAGGCCATCTGTTATGATTTCTGAGCCCCACTCCATCTAGAATTTGATACTTCAGCGGGAAAGGTTTTGAAATTCCCTCTAGGAGAAGGACTCATTGCCAACAGGAGCACTAGAAACTTGCACCAGAAGTCATCCATTACGTGTGCTTTGAGTGATGGTGTGTGTTGGTCTTTTGACAGTGTACTTTAACTATTGGTGATCTTTTCAAGTAGTCAGTGTAACAATACATGCTCTCTTGAATGCTACCAGAAAGTTTGAAAAGCAGAAATCCTTTCGATGTTGCTTTACAACTTTAGGATTTCTAGGAGTCATGGGTGCCTAAGGCCCTCCTCTCTGCTATTGTCTTCCAGCAAAATCCCTTGAAACTCAGTTGTTCGATATAACCTTTCTCACTTAAGTAGCCAAGCTTATTTTATTTGTCATCATGTCACTAAGAAGAATATTACTTTCTTCTCTTCATTTTTAAATAGCATTTTAAATCTCACAGAAATCTTTAGATGGTGTAGTAGTCTTAAGAAGAAACGGGCAAACACTGACACCTTGTTATACTTTTCATGGGTTTCCCGTAATATTTATATGTACATTCTTGTTTAGATAATGAGTAGTAACTTCATCAGCCTCATCAAAGACTGGACGCACATTCCTAAGGTGTTTCTCTACATTTTTTACTACTTGTTTCTTCTTACAGAATTCAACAAGTCCACCGCTTAAGCTCTCCAATGTGGAAAGGATCACAAATGTACAGATTTTGATTTTATTTTGTATCTTAATTGCTATGTCTCTTGTCTGCTCTGTGGGCTCAGCCATTTGGAATCGGAGGCATTCGGGAAAAGACTGGTATCTCAATCTAAACTGTAAGCAACAAAGTGATGACTTCACTTACTTTTTCCTTTTTGTGAAATGTGTTCTTGTTTCCCAATTGATTGTGGTTAGTTTTATAAAATGTCCTGTTGTTCTAACAAAGAAGATACTGTTACTAAGATAACTGGACAATTTAATCTTTATTTTTTCAGTGAGATTTCCTGACTAGAATTCTAGTATCTCTAAATTTCAAAGTCCTTTATAGTAATATAAAGTATTCAATATATAAAGCCATTCATATGATATTCATTTTTAAGAGCTAGTTTTTAAACACATTTTTAACACAAGTGATTAGCTGTTAAAGCAAGTAGATTGTGTGTGTGTGTGTGTGTGTGTGTGTGTGTGTGTGTGTGTATTATGTATCTACATACCAGAAAGTAGCTTACATGCTTTATAGATGCTTGAACTGATTATACTTTGCATTGCACTTGGTAGTAGAGAGTCTGGTGTTAATGCCATCAGGTTCCAGGGAAAATGTTATTAAATAGTTTCCTTTGGAACAGGTATCATAATGCTGTGTGATATTAATGTACCACCCATGGGTATCAAGTGAGTTTAATTTCCATTTTATGAATACTTAGCCAGTAAACACTTAATTTCCCAGATGTGTTAAGTCTATTGTAAAATCTTAGAGCAAAAACTTATTCTTAAAGCTTTTTTATTACATTTATTTAAGTGTTATAACTTTAAGGCTTTATAGTCATTGATTCAGTATTTCAACGTAAAATGGGCTGGTACTACCACCACTTTGTTTCTTCATATTCTTTATGGTATATCAGGTATGTCCAGTTTATTTTCCTTATTGGGAGGGAAGGCTTGTTTACCTAGGAAAATAGTTTACCTGTGGATGAATGATGTTCATACAATCTGGATTGTTTTTGCTGCTACTGTTTGATTACTTTAATAGCATGCTTTAAGAAATGCTTTTCACAATTCATATGGATGTGATTCTATTCCATTAAAAATTTGCTTTTACACACCTTCAGTCCTACCTCTAATATCTCTGAGCTTCCTAGTGCTTGGTAGTTCTTTCAGTTTTCAGTACCATTATGCAACTCCTAATAATTGGATTAACAATATATTAAATGCCAGTACTGCTGTTTCTCAGTGTCCTTGGGAGATCGGTTGTAGGACACCTTGAGGATATTAAGGCCCACAGATGCCCAAGTCTCTTCTATGAATTGGTATATAACTTGCATATAACCTACACACATCCTCCCACAGACTTTAAATCATCTCTAGATTGCTTAATAGACTTAATACAATGCACAAGCTAAAATAAGTACTGTTTATTTACACAGTATGATTTAGGGAAATGACATAGGGGAAAAGTCTACATGTTCAGCACAGGCACATAGTTTTCCTTTATACTTTCAGTCTGTGGTTGAACTCACCAGAAACAGAGTTCTATTTTGAAGAATGAGTTTGATAATTACATATTAAGAAAAGTAGAAAACTTTTTTATTCAAGTATTTGTACAAACTAGTTGCCATTCAACAAAGTAGTATGTGAGTATAATGAATCTTCCCAATTGATCAAGATGTGCTATATAATATGGAAAGTTCTTGTTATGCTGCTTTTATCAATGCAAATAAAATATAAAACTGTACATATTTTTCTCTTACCTCTTCCAACAGATGGTGGCGCTAATAATTTTGGCCTGAATTTCTTGACTTTCATTATCCTTTTCAACAACCTCATTCCAATCAGCTTGTTGGTTACATTAGAAGTGGTGAAATTTACTCAGGCATACTTCATTAATTGGGTAAATGTAAATTATTGCCTATAGTCTAAGCATATAGTTTCTCTTTTTTAAATAGTAGGGTCTTTTGCTATCTCAGAGGATAAAAATATCTTAATTGTTCCTGCTGTTTTAAAACTACATAATGGCATGTCACCTAATAGAATTCTAGCAAAGCCTCTCCACTCAAAATCTTACAGGTTTTGTGCGGGGCGGGGGGGGGGGGGGGAAGGAGAAGGATTGGGATTAGGGGGGGAGGGGGGAGGCTGGGAAGGGATGTGAAGGATAAACAAAGGAGGAGGCTGCAATGCTTGGTAAGAAATGTACGCATTATCCTGCCCATGTAACTGTAACTCCTCTGTACAGTATGTTCACAAATAAAATTAAATTAAAAAAAAATCTTACAGGTTTATAAATAGACATTTTGAGGAAAATGAGTTTCAGAAGACCTATTTTGGGATACAGCGTGATCGTACAGGAAGTTGGGTATTAAAACACCTAGATAGTGGTTCTGGTGTTACAACTTCCTCCATCAGCAAACTTTGCATGACCTTTGACTTCTTTAAAACTCTATTTTTGGTACACTAGCATACATACAGGTAATAACATCTCCTTTATCTACATCTCCCAATGGTTGTACAGAAGAAGGAACCTCTTGACATAGCATTCATAGCATTAAGCTTTGTAAACAATGAATCACTTCTACACACAGGACGGTGTTTGCAACTGGTAATGATCATTGCCTCTCATGTTTAATCATCTTTTTAGTTTATTTTTTCACACTTTTACTGTGCATCAATTTTTCTTCTGATTATGTTTTTAATTTTAAAAAACCATCTTTAAAAAAACTCTTTAGATCTGATTAATTGATACACAAATATAACCAATGTAACCTTTGTAACTTCTCACGTCATGAGAGCTAGTTTTGTAACCTTTATGACAAATGTTCCCCTAAACTGTTGGTCTCTTAACTCTCTGCTAAAATATCAAAGTGCAATTTGCAAATCTAAAATGAGCTGCAGGTACACCTTCCTTCATGCAGGGATTGTGTTGGTGAGGAATCATGTCGTGTGTGCAAACACACTTAAAGCTTACAGAAGAGTTCTCACAGAAAGGATTAGGTAATTCACGCTGCTGTTCACACAACAAACTCATCCAATTCAAATTTTTCATTTGGGTTTTCAGAAATTGTACTTAATTATAATTTTAGTTTTGGATGAAGCCAGTCCTTCTTCACCCACCCTTCTAACCTGCAAGGTTTATCACATCCCTGACAGATGGAAGACTGCCTTTCCTAACCCCTCTCACAGGGGAGTTTCTTCCTTGTGTGGAAATGAGATTGATGATTTTTCTTCCTGTGATGCTGGTTCTACCTAAAGGACTATGAGGAAGATCTTTAATCTTGTTTCTGAATAATACCCTCATTCTATTCTTCTGTCACATCCTTTTTTCATTAAGGACACACCTCCCATCTTCAGTTGGTCTTCATTTTTGTGGTTTTCAAATTAGTTCCTATTGTAATTACTCTATGCTTTTCTCTAAATGTGGTACACTTGGATAAATTCTCTCATAAAAACATGGCATATAAAACTCAGCAGGTCTATTCAAGAAGCCGATATTAATCAATTCAGAATATGTACATGAGACACAGAGTTTTTATTTCAATTTTGGTCTTCTCATTTGCTACATGAAAACTAGTAAACTACAGCCATTATTTGTCAACTCCTAATTTTCTGTTATTTGAGCTGGCACAAGTGCAGTTGTTAGTACATGACTAACATTTTCATTTTTTAGTAAGTAGACTTTTCAATGCTAATAAAGCAGATTTTGCTTCCAGTGTAAGGTACTATACAAGCCTAGGCATAACTACTACAAAATGGGCTGATTAGTCTATAACACATTAGCTATTTTTTATTTATAAGCATAGTAATATATCTGCTTGTAGCTTTCAACTAGGGAGGGAGGAAAAGACTTAAGATGTCTGAAAAAATATTCTACTATAGAAAAATAGTGATTTTCTTGGATCATATGGACCATAAATAAGAACAAATATATAAATTTTGGGTTTGGCTTTTGAGAGGAACATTTGTTTTCCTTTCAAATAATGCAATATAAGAGACTTGGCCCAGAAATTATAACCAGATGGAATGTCTTAGATAATTTTTCAGGGACTTGAAGACCTAATCATTTGAATAATGTTTAGTTGCTCTTTTCCAACTCACGTCATTAAGCATTTACCATGTGACAGACACTCTAGAAAGAACTTCACATGTGTTATCTTAATTCTTATGGTAAATTGAAAATGTTAGAATGATAGTAAACCTAGATTGCCTGACTCCAGAGACAAGCTGTAATTGGCATGCTGTTTTGCCCTAATTGAGATACATTCTATATTGAGTTATCCTGAATTATTTTTTTTCTTTTTATTATTATTATTTTTAAATAGTTTTACAGGGCTTGGAATGTGGCTTAATGGTAGAGTATTTGCCTAGCATGCATGAAACCCTGGGTTTGCTTCCTCAGTACCACATAAACAGAAAAAGCCAAGTAGTGCTGTGGCTCAAGTGGTAGAGTGCAAGCCTTGAGCAAAAGAAGCTCAAGGACAGTGCCCAAGCCCTGAGTTCAAGCCCAGCAGAGGAAAAAAAAGTTGTACAAAGGAGTTGCCATTTATCAAAGCAGTTTCTGAATACAGTATATCTTGGTCAATGTCATCCCTTTTAACATTCAAGGAAATTAAATGACATGATATAGAGATAATAAGAACCTGTAGTAGTTACATATATCTTCTACAAGTAGAATGAAGATACTAGTTGTTTTCTTTCCAATTTTACCCAGTCCCTTATTTTTAGATGTATTCAATGATTTCTTTATTTATTTAAAGGATCTTGACATGCACTATGAACCCACAGACACTGCTGCTATGGCTCGAACATCTAATCTGAATGAGGAACTTGGCCAGGTAAACTTTTACTATTAGTTACTCAGTCAGAAATTAGATTTGGTATAATTTCTAACTTAATGTGGCAAAGTCAGAGGTGCTAACAACTCTTAGTTAGTTTTCCATTATTTGAATATTTGGCGTATATACATGTGTTACAACATGACTAACATTTTTATTTTTAATAACTGGAGATTTCAAACACTATGTAAAGAAGGTTTTGCCTGCACCAACCTAAGCATGTCCCTTGGTACGTGGTCAGGGTATTATATAAAATATTGGCTGTTTTTGAATTATAAACACAGTTGTTCTAAGCCTTCAGCTTGAATTAAAGGAAAATGTCAAGATGCAACAGTCCAGTCAAACAAGGGTTTAGATTTGTAATTCGTGCTACCTTTACCTATCACACGACAGGGATGCATTCTAAGAAGCGCATTGTTAGGTGATCTTATCATTGTTAAGACATGGTAGAAAATACATCAGCACACTAATGGCTGTGATGTCACTAGCCAACATAATCGTATAAAACCACGCTCATAAATGCAGTCCTTCACTGACTAAAACATTCTTATATAGCACATGACTATGTATATTTTCATAATCCATTTATATATGCTATCTGATAAAAGAATTCTTGTGATACCATTGCCATTTTCCAGCTCTTACTAATCAAAGAACATTTAGGATAGAATTATTCTTTTTCTTACCAACTCAGATGTTGTTTGATGTTCATTGTATTAGCTCATGCTGATTGTACATTGAGGAATGTGAGTAGATCTCCTAAGGTATATTTCTCTAGTTTTTCTAATACCTTAGTAGACTTTCGTACTCCTCTATAAAATAATTTTATTGCTGCAATACTAAAAAAGGTGAATATTTTCCTTGATGAATGTGTAAAAAGTAATTGATAATGTTCATTGTACCCCAATAATGGAATAGCATTGATTAAAAAGTATAATTTACACTCTTAGAGAAGGAACCTCTGGTCATATAAAATATTTATTGAAATAAACTCTAGGAAATGGAAACAAGAGGGTTTTTTGTTGTTTTCCTTGTTGTTTTTGTTCCCTTTTCATTTTGTCTAGTTTATCTTTGGAAGGGTATGGAAGGGGCACAGAAATATAGTGACAAAGGGTGAATAAATGCAGCAATGGTAGTCACTAGACACTATGTTGAAAATGAACTATGCAACTTGTGGTAAGGATCGGAGGGAAAAACTGGGAGAGAGTGAGGGGAGGGGTCACATTGTCCAAAAAGAAATGTGCTCTGTACCTGACTCATGTAACTGTAACCCTCCATACATCGCCTTTATAATAACAATAAAGTATTTTAACAAAAATATAAGGATGCTTTCCCCTTCTACAAGTTTTATGAAATGATACTAATGAGGAAATTTTAACCTTTTTTTAGGTTAAATACATATTTTCTGACAAAACTGGTACCCTGACATGCAATGTAATGCAGTTTAAGAAATGCACCATAGCAGGCATTGCTTATGGGTAAGTTTTGTTCCCTTCTAATTAGCATATGATATACACAGTTAATTAATGCTAATAACATGGTACATTTGGGAATTAATATTACAAGAAGGTTTAGTTTAACCTTTTTTGTTCTAGAAAGCAGCTGCTCTGTATATGTTTGGTTTTGTTTGCACTGGGGATGACATGAACTAGGGAGGGTGTGGGCCAAATGGTTTTTTCAGTGTTTAAAGTTGTGGAAGGTCTGCAGGGGGCCCGGCCCAGTAATGAAGAACGAATACATTTCCCTGAGCATGGAAGTCAAGAGTACAGCTTCAATGAAGGAAGAAGATGCATTTAGAACTTGATTGGTTTTTGAATTAAAATGCTGTCATTTCTCTAGTGGCTACCTTTTCAATGATTTTTTTTTTCTCCTGATTCTCCTCCTTTCAGTCACAGCAAGTTAAAATTGTGATGAAATGGAAAGATCTGGAAAAAAAATTGTTATGGGAATTAAGTCAGGCCAAGTGAGACAAAGGATGAATGTTTTCCCGTATTTGTGGAAGCTAGATTGTTGTAAGGCGCAATTATTCCAGAAGCCACATTTTGGAAGCTTAGAATATTGGAGTCTTTATTATACTTCCGGCAGCCAGTTGTTACAGAGGTCTGCAGGCCCCAAATACACATAACATAGCTAGGAAACAAGCTAGAGAGAGAGAAAAAAACAAAACCAATACTAACAAATCTTTTCAGCTCCTATGGAAAGCTGAACTGGGATGCTGTGAAGACCGGAGACAAGACAGGAGACGGGACATGATCACTGAGACACACGTGTCTTGGTATAATCGTGCCTGTGCTGGTCCAAGCAGCGAGCAGGTCCACAGGAAATTCCCAATCTCTGGCACTGGACTGACAGTAACCTATCAGCCAAGTACCTGCCCCTGCATCCCTGGTTCACAGCACACCCATCACCTGGTGATGGGTAGAGACATTTCCTTCTCCCAGCATGAAGACAAGATGCCAGACCCTGCCATTTACCATGTGGCCAAAATGGTGCTGGCCAGACCTGACCTCCTTACTTCAGACTTAGCTTATAAACTTATAAGTAAATATGTTGGGTGGTATGTAAGTGTACAAATGTTTTGACTGAAATATGATTGATCCGAGGGAGCTCTCAAATTGTGTAATTCCTTAGAAAGGCAAAATAAAAGCTCAACAAAATAAAACACTAGGAGGCAAATATTCAAACGAGTGGTGTGGGGTCAAGGGGAAAAGGGTAGACGAATGAAGGGAAGAAAAGGATCCAATGTATGTCCTACAAAATTAAGAAATGTAAGGGACGGTGTAGATAGGAGAGGGATAGATGAGGATGTAGAAAGGGGTGACTGATCAAGATATATTGTGTTCTGTTGCACAGTAATTATACCTTAAATCAGGTATATAAATCCAGTCACGAAAAATAGAGAAGCCACATTTTGAGAGGTCAGATTTTTGGAGTGCTAGTGGTATGCAGGCAGCCAATTACAAAGACCTGCAGCCCCAAACCAAGCTTGTACCGAGCTTTTAAAGACAAAGGCCACATGTTGGGTGGAGATAGGAGCAGGGCTCCCTTGGGGCTAAACAATACCAGTATTCCCAAAGCAAGGCCCTTCTGGCTCTACCCATTGCGCCAGCTATCTGCTGTTCAAAAGATGGCTTGTCTTACCTCTAGGCCTGGGAGCTAGGTAGGCAACCCCCCATCTCCTGGTTAGGACCAGAATGGCTATGTGAACAACAGCTCCTGGCACTTGGTGCCTGGATGTCTGTCACTCAGTTTCTCACTTCATCCGGCCCAACTGCGCTTAGGTACATGAAATCAAATCATTGATTTCCTCACTTCAGCTGAAGCCAGGCACCAGTGGCTCACACCTATAATTGTAGCTAGTCAGGAAGCTGCTATCTGAGGATCACAGTTATAAGCCAACCTGGAGAGGAAAGTCCATGAGACTCTTTATCTCCATTAAAAACTTCCAAAAGAGCTGGCACAGCAGTTGTATAGCTCAACTGGTAGAGCACTAGCCTTGAACACAAAAGCTCAGAGACAGTGCCCAGGGCAACATTTCAAGCCCCAGGACCAGTAAACTAAATAAATAAAAAGGCATCTTTATTCATAAACTGCTTTATAAAATAGCAACTCCTTTGTACAACTACTCAAAGATAATAATTTTTTAAAAGATGAATACAAATGGTAAAAGATTGACTAAAGATTGTGTTTTATGGTAGGAAAAAAAATGGCCTTACTGAAGTGAATCACTTAAATTGGGAAGATGAGGAGTACTAGGCTGTTAATGTCTGTTGTTAGGCACTGTTAAGTTTAATTAGGTAACCCAGAGGAGAATACCACATAGTATTCAGGCAAAAAGAAAAGTTTTATTCTGAATTGCTGCTCAACCATGCATAGTAGAAATGCATGACCAAAGGTCTTATCTAGGGGAGAAATAGAGGGAAGGTATGGCCAGGTATGGCCAAGTAGGGGGAAGGTGTGGCCATGCCAGATTCGGATGTGACTTCTGAGCGTCCCTCCCACAGTCCAATGAGAGGCATGACTGGGGGCAGGATGTGACCTCAGCGTAGGGGGAGGTGACTGCCTCCAGGTGTGCCAGGTACCCAGGTAACACAGGTACTAGGCAGAGACTTATGAAGGAGGGGGCAGGCTTCTGCACCGGCCCTGTATAATAAACATTAGTTATCAGATGGATGGTGATGGTTTTTGCACACATTGTAAACCCATTCCTGAATATCATTTCTACAGTGACCTGCTTAAAAGCTGATATCCTTCTTGTACTTTGTCCAGCTTTTAAGTCAATAAGGAAGTTCTTCAAGTTAGTGATTATTGACTGAAATAATCAGAATAGAAACCTAAAGTGCTATCTTTTTTGGAAAAAAGAAGTTTTATTGTTATTATAAAGGTGATGTACAGAGGGATTACACTTACATAAGTCAAGTAAAGAGTACATTTCTTTTTGGTAAAATGGGATCTTGCCTCATTTTTTCTTTTATCAGGTTTTCAGCTAAAAAGCTACTCCTATTAGGCATGTCTAGGAAGCAGTCTTCTTCTGTTGTGTTGGTGATGTTATTATTAAGAGCTAGGAGAAGTAGCTTTGAGCAACCTCTCATTGTAGATTAAATTTTTTTTTGGAAATAATTTTTCTTAACAAATAACTTTTACTTGGTGTTGTCATAGGCACAAGTTCTAATCGCTCAGATTCATCATGTGAACCTAGACTATTCCTTTGCAGATATTCCTGACTCTTTCTAATTTAATAAGGAGACAGACCAGATTGTCTTTAAGATCCTTATCCAGATACAAAGTTCTATCATGTTTACAAAAAAATCCTTTTGTTTACAAAATTTAATTGAGTATTGGAAATGTCTCATCTTAGAGTATTGTGCTATATTCAGTTAAATGAGTTAACTGACTTCCAGTATTCATATATTATTTGTTTTAGTCAAGCATAATCCTGATACTGTTTTTTTTTTTTTTTCTGTTGGTCATGGGACCTTGGCACTGTCCCCCATCTCAAGGCTAGCACTCTACCGCTTGAGCCACAGCACCACTTCTGGCTTTTTCTGCTTATGTGGTGATAAGGAATTGAACCAAGGGCCTCATGCATGCAAGGCAAGCATTCTATCACTGAACCGTCTTCTTAGCCCCCTGATACTGTTTTTAATAAATATTCCCTGTCCTATATTGTGATGGACAGTTTGTTAGCATTATGAAGGATTGTTGATGGTACAGGCTTTGGAGGAAGCATGGTTGTCTTCTGACCACATGCTTATACATCAGAGCACACAGCCTGTTGCCTGATTGTAGCCAGACTCCATCTACAATTGAAGTATAGAGGAGAATGATTACTGTTAGCCAGCTCTCTTCAGGGATTTTTTTTTAATGGGTACTCAGCAATTATAGGAATCTAAACCCGTCCCTAGTGGTCCCATAACAGTGGTTAATGTATATTTAATATATAGGGCTCAACTTTGTGACAGGCATACCTATGATTAAACCTGTTGGAGGGCTGGGAAGGTGGCTCAGTGGTAGAGCACTTGCCTTGCATGCTCGAGGCCCTGGGTTCGATTCCTCAGCACCACATAAGCAAAAAGAAAAAAGCCGGAAGTGGCGCTGTGGCTCAAGTGGTAGAGCGCTAGCCTTGAGCTGAAGAGCTGAGGGACAGCGCTCAGGCCCAGAGTTCAAGCCCCACGACTGGACCAAAAAAAAAAAAAAAAAAAAAAAAAAAAACCTGTTGGATTATTTGATTAGCTCTTTTTTGTGGCATAGTTGGCAGTGAAGTGTGAATATCTTTCATATGTAAGCTTAACATATTACAATTGAGAAATCCTACTGTTGAGCATTTATGGAAGTGTCAAATTCCAGCAAATCTCCTCATGTAAAATTGCAGGTTTTATCACAGGTATTTTCATCTTAGCAATAGATAAGAAATTTAATATTCAGTGGCTGAGACTTTTGATACTATGAGGATTGTAGGACATTTTCCCTCCACACTATTATTTGCCAACAACTTAAGACTTTAATGGTCTTTGATGCTAAGAAAACTTTCTAAGAAAACCAAACTAGGATTTTTTTAAATTGGTATGAAAACAAATTATATATATTTTCCTTTTCAGAAAAACAAGTTTAATATATATATATATACATATATATGTATGTGTATATATGTGTGTGTATGTGTGTGTGTGTGTGAGCATGATATACGAAAGGAATCCTTCACATCCATCCCAGGGGACCTCGCAGAGGCAGGCAGGCACAGGACAAAGATTATTACAAGGTTTATTAGAGGGGCCATATTTCCCCCAAGAGGGAGCACATGGCACCTGTCCCTATATAGGTGGGGGGGGGGAGGGAGGGAAGTGAGGGAAGTGAGTATTCAGGTCGGTCTGAGTAGAGAGAGGGAGTGGTCAGCTGTAGGGCCGGAATTCTTGGGCAGGGAGGAGCTCAGGTATGGGTGGAGCTGAGGACCAAAGGTGGTCATAATTTTGTTTAGAAA